AGCATGTGGCTGGTTAAGCTTCAGGCTTTCCAGCAGCAGTTCAGCTGAGAGCCATTGGGATGAGGACACAGAAGCTTCCAGTCTGAGGAAACAAGACCAGCTGAGAAGTTGACCAGGTGAGGTTAGCTGTGGCTTGTTCTGTCTCTCTGATCTACCAGCATGGACCCCAATAACTCACCTCAGGTTTGATTTTATTAATAAGAACTTTTAAGATTCCTGCTACACTGGCCTCCATTAAACTAGATTCTAATACCAAATTCCAGTCCCAACACAATAATCAAAAATACCTGAAGGCATTGCCTAATGTCCCTGGTGGAGACAAATCCTTCCTGGTAAGAAATATCATTTCTGAGTTGTGGAGGATGGGAAGACTCACACACTGGAAGTCCCCCGTACATGTTCATGTGTTCACATCTTTACAATATTTTATTAATCCTCAGCTGTCAAAAAATACAGTAGACAGAGTAATTTTCACAAGTGTTTTAGTACTTAGTGCATTACCTTACACTTAAGATGTAGAGCCAATCTTCAGTCTACAATGGCTGTGCTGTAAAACTGTATTTCCAGACTAGAGACACTCATGCTATATTGATAATGGTAAATCTAAATTGGATGACCTATATGCTCATGGAAGCAGGGAGAATACTGGAATATAATTAAATCCCGTATGTGGTAAATTCTAGAATAAAACTACTATAAGAGCCGGGCGGTGGTGGCGCACGCCTTTAATCCCAGCACTCGGGAGGCAGAGCCAGGCGGATCTCTGTGAGTTCGAGGCCAGCCTGGGCTACCAAGTGAGCTCCAGGAAAGGCGCAAAGCTACGCAGAGAAACCCTGTCTCGAAAAACCAAAAAAAAAAAAAAAACTACTATAAGAATATTTTGTAGAACACATTGAAAAATGTAATTAAACTTTAAACTCCATTGTGCTGTTCTCTAATGTTAAAGTAAATCTAAATTAAATTGTTTCATGCTCTGGTTAAGAAGGATCCAACGGCATGTCCATATGAACTGTTACCTAATTAAGGTGACATGGAGAATTAGCAAAGAACTAGGGTTTACCTAACAATGCCTTTTAGAAAGCATCCAGAGTCCTACAGTACCTCATTTGCCATCTTTAATATACACTCTGATGTATATGTTCATTAAAATAGATATGACATTTGTACTGAGGAAGTGATTTTACATAAATACAATATAGTTTTCAGTTTTTCGTTTGTACTTTATATGTTCAGGTTGCCTATAATATTTCATTTTGTTTAAGGTTTCTCAGAGGAAACATATGTCATATGTATATACAGTTTTTAAAAATTATGTGTCACAATGAAGTTTTGATCAGTAATGACCTCCACATGTTATGGTGGTCTCCTAATAGTACAATGAGATGGAAACCTTCTATTGCCTGATAGTAATGCTGTGTTTACGTCACAGCCCACCATCACGACTTTACACTTGTTTGTGGACATGCAGGTATAAACAAACCTACTCTGCTGATGATCATTAAAACACAGTCATTAAGTGCCTGTGCTCTTTTTTATACATTTATAATAGTACCCATCATTATTTTAGAAGTAAGTGTAAGTTTAATGTAAAACAAAACACAATGTTATATTGGTGACAGTTTCATATAGTTTGTGTTTCTCGCTCTCTCAGCTATACCAAAGGGCTAGCCCAAGAGATAAACCTATATCACACAACTTTGTGGAACCACACTCTATAATGTTCATGCATCACAAATAGGAACTTCTCAGTTAACTTTCCTGATGCTAAGTGAGGCACACCTGTATGTTATGTATGCAAATATATGTAAATACAAATACATAGTGTGGCTATACATATCGATGTTTTATATTAAAATAATATAAGCTAAGATTTTATATATATATATATATATATTTGTATGTATGTATGTATGTATCTGGTAGCCTATTGTACTATATATAGTGTCTTTGTGTATATCCTGAACATTGTATTATATGTATCCAGAACATTTTCATCTACAAAACTGAACAATAGGAAACAATGTAAATGCCTACCAATGGAAAATTAAGAAAGTAAATTGTCATTCTCCTACAAAGGAATGCATCACAGTAAAGTTTTTTGTTTTTGTTTCATTTTGTTTTTTGTAATAATGACTTATTGTTTACTGATACTGAAACTTTGTGGGTTGGACTACTATGGAAGAGACCTTCCCTCCCTAAAACAATTAGTTGTTTTATTTGCATAGAATTTCTCATCTGTAGTAATTTGCTATGGTTTACTTTCTGTTGCTGTGATAAAGATTATAACCATGAGTTACAAAGCAGCCTAGAGAGGAGAGGGTGTATTTGGCTTACACATCCCAATCCCAGTCCATCAGTTGAGGGAACCCAAAGCAGGAATTCAAATAGAGCAGGAACCTAGTGTCAATAACTGAAGCAGAAAAGATGGGAAGAAATCAGCTTACAAACCTGCCCCCCAAGCCTTGCTCAGCTTGCTTATTTATACAACCCAGGACCACCTGCCCAGCTGTGACACCACCCACAATGAGTTTACCCCCTCCCATAATCCAGAAAACATCCCATAGACTTGCCCACAAGCCAATCAGATGAAGTCATTTTCTCAGTTGAGATCCCCTCTTCCCAGATGACCCTAGCCTGTGTCAAGTTGACAAAAAACACTAATCAGAGCATACCTAGTAAGGTGTATGAAAGAAAAAGAAACTTATAGTTAAATCTGTGTCTTTTGAGTTAAATTATCCTTATACTTTTTGTAGGCTGCTTTTAAGGAAGTAATTTTCAATTCCCAAGTGATATCAAAACATTATTAAGAGTAGAGTAGCCATTTGAATATCAGTTACACTCAGCCTCTATATTCCAGGAAAACATCCCTACAGAAAATCCAGGGATGATGGAAGTCCAGGTAGGATCTAACTCCTAAGGTCAATTGGGTCAGTAAGTGTGGTGTAACTTTGGATTCCAGGACAGAGCTTCCTCACTCAGTACACAAAACCTGTTGAGTGTAAATGGGTCAGAGTTTGTGAAATGAATCTGACAATCCAAGTGGGGTCTATGAGGCACCATAAGACATAAAAGGCTGATTTCATTCCTGCTATTGCATTGGGTGGCATGGGGAGGAAAAGGTGGTATTTGATGCATAGTAAAGCTTCCTCTTATTCATAAATTCTGCAGATACTGATGTAGACATTGTTATAGAAGCTAGAGAATATAGTAAATGGTATGAGAAATATCAGCTGTAAGAGTAACTTTTATATGAGGAACATCTGCTAAGTACAGATCACTGAGAGAATAATTTTGCACACATTGAATCTTTTTATCCACACAATACTCCTAGGTAGAAGATGTGTTGGTTTATGAGAGCACTAAGCCTAATGGAGCTAATTTAACCAACCCAAGCTCACACACATTAGTGAGTATAAAAGTAAAACTCAACCCAAACTACAAAGTTCTTGACAGCTTCACTGTAATGTCTTTGACTTGTAGCTATTGTATATGATGAATTAATTACATTAATAATGGATGTAATAGAATACTAGCAAGCTAAAATTCAACAGCACCTTCCTTCACCAGGAAAAAGTGGGATTTATTTCTGGAACAAAAAGATTGTTGAACATACATAAATCAAGCTGTAGGATAAGCCCTTAACAGGATGAAGGACAAAATCCACATGATCATCACAAAAGATGCAGGAAAAGTTCAATACATTTTCAGGATAAAGATTGTCAAAACCAAGTCATAAAGGGAATTTACCTCTCTATAACAAAGACTAGGAATGGAAAACTCCAAGCCTCAAAATCAATAGCTGTTGAAATCAAAGCCAAAGGATCACATTTTTCTGACATCAACATACAATTTTATAATAAATATACAACTTTACAATAAACAAAAAAGCCCAAGGGTGTCATTAAAAACAATCACATAAATGAGGAGACCAGAGAACCCAGATATAAAGACATATCTACAGTCAGCTGACCATCAGCAAAGGCACCTAGAACAATGGGAAAAGATGGTGTCGTCAACAAATTGTGTTTTGAATACTGTACAACCACATTCAAAAGATATTCCAGCATATTTGGAGTCTACCTTACATCACACATAAAATCAACCAAATATCAGTCAAAGAATTATACACGAAAATGAAGTACTAGCAGGAAACATGGGGAAATCTTGGCACTGAGTTTGGTAATAACTTTGAGGCCATGAAAGAAAAATCACAGACAGCAAAAGCAAAATTAGATGGTTGGGATTTTTAAAAAGCTAAAATTTTTTGTACAGCAAGGAAAATAATCAGTTCATAATGAGAGAAAATGCTTGCAATCTATGTATTTCATAAATAGCTAATAGCCAAAATCTACAAGGAATGGATCCCAACAAAAATGTTTTTAAAAACTGATTCCTCTAATGTAGTGTTAAATTCAGTGTTGCAGCATGGGGATTTTTTTTATATTAAATTAAATATGAATAAGGAATACTGACTTAATGGTTTCTTTTTTTCCCCTCTATTGTCTTTGTGTGGTTTAAGAATCAAGGGAGTGAGTACCTCATAAAATGCACTGTGGAATGTGTGCTCTTTTTTTTCCCTAATTTTTGAAAGAGACTGAGAAGACTTAGCACTGATTTCCCTTTGAGTGCTTGGGAAATTCATCCATGAAGTCATATGGTCTGGGTTCCTTCTTGTTAAAGTTTTTGACTACTGATTTAACCTCTAAGACATTGGGATCTTTACACTTTTCACTTCTTGAAGATGCAGCTCTCTAGAAATTTATCCATTTCTGTCTCTTTATCTGGTTTATCTACCCTACTGTGGTATAATGGCTTGTGGTGGTCTTTTAGGAGGTTCTAAAAGTTCTGCCATCTGGTAAACATGATGCAAGGCTAAGAAGCTTAGAAATAAAATTTCACTACTAAAAAAATTTAAGTTTACACTTGTTTGCTGCTTGGCCTCTGTGTGTCCATGAAAGATCCCCACTTACATCATGTCTGTCTTCTCTCTCACCCCCTAGGATCACAACCACTGCAGCATGCATGATGGATCTTCGAAGATATCCTCTGGATGAGCAAAACTGCACCCTGGAGATTGAAAGTTGTGAGTTACTTGTACAGGGAATGGAAAAGAGGGATCTTTGCCTGCCCCAATTCAAGTCAACCTTTCTTTGAGTTAATTGGAACTGGGATATTTTTGGCTGCTACCTTTTTTCAAGGGGTTCACAGTTAGTGGCATTTCCTCTCATATTGGTGGTTCAAGGGTCATTTCCGTGACATTTTCATTTGGACAATTAAGGAAAGTCCACTTATTTTGATTCATAAATGTATAAACTCATGCTCTCTTCATCTTCTCTCAGAACCTCCTAATATCCAAGCTTCGTTAGGTGAAAAAAGAAAACATTTTCTTATCTGTTAGCCTGGAAGACTGTAAATGGTCTTTTAGAAATACGCTCTGGGACAGTATTGTGTGAATGGTGTGTTTTTACCAGTGAAAAACATATGACAATAAATGACACCTCAATAGGCTTCTGCTTTAGGTCAAATAGTTTTTCGTGTCTGTGGGATGATTTTGGTCTGTACTTATGAGGCTGTTTTTCATTGACTATGAATAATATGAATGTTTTAATCATTAAGATCCAACCCACCAAACTATCCTTGTGTCATTGTTTCTCAGTCATCAACCTGCAGGCCTTTGAGCCCATTCATTGTGAGTACTAGAGATCAAGCATTTATTTGTTTTGAGAGTCACAAAAAGATGCAGGAGTTAACTCTATCACTTACTGAAATGTGAAAAATCAGCAGGTGTGTATTTTGATCATCTAAAATACTTTCTAGAGCTAAATGTCAAGAAGCAAAGGGAAATGAAATCCTTTCAGCTGACCTTACAGTGTTACTGAAGAATAAATGTGTTTCTCTACTGTGCTGTTAAGCAATTACGTAAACTTTCTAGTCTCATTGCACAGAAATAAAACTGTTCCTATAGAGAGGGCACTAAATTTAGATACAGCCATCATCCTACTCCCAATGGGATGAATAAGAAAATCCAGAAATGTTCTTCCATTAATATTTTGATTTTAAAGGTCATAAAGAACATGGTAAATATTAAAATGTATTATTTATTAAAATGTTAATGTTGACTTGGTTTAAAGGACAAAAATGACCAAATTGGAAACATAACTGTGATCCTTAATTAATGGCTGATAATAGTTTATAAATACAGCAGAGCTTTTGTTCAGAAACTAAATCATTACCTTTGAAACTGGAGTAGAAAGAGAAGAATAACTTGTGGGCTAATGACAGATATGGGTTACCATTCACCTTCAGCTACTTGTCCACTGATTTTGTGATTTTCTTAAACTTTGGCTTCCTTTGGAAAGCTTTGTAATCTGAAACGTTCTTAAAATTCTAGGATCCACAGGGTGGTGGTGGCACATGCCTTTAATCCTAGCACTTGGGAGACAGAGGCAGGCGGATCTCTGCAAGTTCAGGGCCAGCCTGGGCTACAGAGTGAGTTCCAGGAAAGACTCCAAAGCTACACAGAGAAACCTTGTCTCAAAAAAAAAATTAAGATTCTTGGTTTTCATCATTCAGTTAAGGAGCAATGAATTTTGCAAAGTATTTTAATTGATTCTGCTCTAAGAATTACCAGTATATTCTCCCTCAAAGCATAATGAGTTTCCCTACAATTTCATAGTGAGTTGTAGATTGACATTTTTCTTAAGATGACAAATTTCTTTATTTATACTAGGAAGTATGCAGTCTTTCAATCCATTCATCATACTACATAATGACCAAAACAATAAATAAAGCAGAAATTAAATATTGCCTTAAAAGGCTCTACAGAGGCAGAAACATGATAGAAATAAAGAGTCAAACAAGAACTACGACCCATTGCCTTCTATATGTTAAACTAACAACATAGTAGCATGTGACACCTCCATGATAAAAGCATGTCTGAGAGATACAGTGTCTGGGATACAGAGAACTAAAATAACCAAAGGCAGGAATTGCAGAGGGATGGGGATTCAAGCCCAGTTCTACTCCACCACAGTCCTCTGTACTCCACGGGTGAGGAAGGTAGCTGAGGCTCCACAGCTAATGGTACACCTGCTCTCAGCAGGGCCAGGAATCCTGTGTTAATCAAAAACAGGTCTAGATTTCACAATATCATCTCTGCTACGGGTCAAGAATCAAAACTAGAAGCTGAAGCAGAATTTGGTTCCTGGGTCACGTGCTGAAAAGGGAGGGTATCTTAAAGATTCAGCAAACCAGGCAGGCCTTGATTCCATTGAAAATAACCGTGTGAGTATGCACATACTCACCCGGAAATCTCAGAGTTGCATAGCTCAACAGTGTGTTTAAAATATTCTTCATCTTAATAATTAACTAACTAATGTAATGAAATGTAAAATCTTAAGAATAAAAAACTATTATGTGGTGCAGGAAAACACACTAAAAATACGGAGTCTGTATTTCCTTGCCAACTTTGCTTGCTTTGCTTTTATTCCACCTAAATACAAAATACACTGGTTATTCTTTCATGTTTTTTTTTAACTCTCCATAACTAAATGTGTGTGTGTGTGTGTGTTTTTTTTATGAAACAGATCGTCCTCAATTGACAATGTATTGGACAACAGCTCAGCTTTAATGGACCTAATATCAGTTAGATTATGAGAATGATAAAGTAGACATTGCTCAATATAGGACTGAGCCAATCAAACTTCTCTGTGGCTAACCGAGTGGAAACATTGCCTACATTACAGAATTTACTAGTTCGTATGTGTAACCCATTAAGACTGGGGAAACGTTTCCCGCGGTTAGGTCCTTTGAGATAAATTAAAGACATTTTACTTATTTTTAATGCCATCTAATCAACTAAAATTGCAAAGGCCATAAAGTCTTGTTAAACCGAAAATTTACTTGGACTTGGAGCAGAGTAATAGCTTTATAGCCCCGGGATGTCATAAAATGAAGCAGTGGCATATAGAAAAATCAATCAAAGAATTTAGTATAACGAGGATTTGGAATTCAAAATCAATAAAGCTATCATATGAAGGTTGGATAGCCACAAGCCTTGTGGAGATACAGGTAGGTCTTAGGATAAAAATCATGGATAATTATTTGGATGGCTTTTCCCACTTTCTTCGGCAAGATTAAGGAAAATCTTTAATCTCTCCCTTTCACTTTCAACATAGGCTGTCACCTGTTGACTATACTCAAAGAAGTAGAAGCCAATTTCAAGTCTGAAATCTGTGTCCTCACCCACACATAACCCTTCTTGTTCTTCACCATCCTGAGCAACACCTATATTTTGTGTGGGAACACATGAAAAACATGTCTGTTCTCCTCACAAAAGATACCCTATAGCAGACCAAAGAAACAAGTCCACCCACATCTAGCTTATTGAAATAAGTTGAGTTACTTAGAGTTAGTCAATGGGAGCTGATCAATGAAAAGACCACTCCAGAATGGGTAGCAATTCATGAAACCTGAATCAGAAGAGCTCCCTATACTAGTTATAGGCTGTTCTGCTGGCTTAAGAGTCCTCTTCTCCACTAGCAATTGCTTTTACAACCCTGGGTAAGGGTATTGTCTGACTTTTCCTGGAATGATGTGAACAGCATCTGTTCACCCTACATAGGGAATCAAATGCAGACCAAAGAAACAAGTCCATCCAAATCCAGTGTAAAGATCCAGTGAGTTTATTGAAATTACTTATAGAGGTTATTTATAGGTGAGGATTAAATTACAGAATCATTGGTGACGCAAACGCATCACTGAGAAGCCCACCTCAGCATGGGTGATGACTCACAAGAGCATCCCTGGAGCTCTGCATGATCATTTGCAGGCAGCCCAACTGTTCAGTGCCACATCTCAGCGTTTGTTACTGCATGTCAGCTTGGGAAGGATCCCTGTCAATCGTGTAGTCACACTTTACTAAGGCTTGGGAATTTAGTTCACTTCCCAAGCCTTGTAGGTTTTGTTTCCTTTCTGAATCTTAGAGTTTCCCTCGTAAATGGAATGTTTCAGTTCAAAGAAGCCCTGGTTCTTTAAAAACACTCTGTTGGTAGCTACTATTGTTGTTGTTGTTGCTGCTGCTGCTGCTGCTGCTGCGGCTACTGCTATGTTCTAAATGTTTGCCTCTCCCTAAATTAATATTAGAACCTACTCATCAGGGTGATGTAATGATAAAATTGGGATAATGAGTAGAGTTCTTGTTAATGGAGGTATTTCCCAGAGTCTCCTAGTGAGTCTTCCACTCACTATATTAGGTCATAACCAGAAGGTACCATCTAGGAAAGAGAAAAGGGACCCTCACCAGACACCAGAGTTTATCGGTACCATCATTTTGCTCCTCCCCCAGTACAGAACTGTCAAAACTTGAGATATTAATCTCTGCTGTTTATAAGGTGCACAGTTTGTTGTACTAGCTTTAGTATCTCCACATCCCCAAAGGGCTAAAATGAGAATGTAGCACTTCGAAGTACTTCTTTGTTTCCAAGTTTATTGATTCTTTGCCATGTTGAATATAAAGAGGAAAGGATTCATTGCATGGCTCACTATCCACTCATTAAAACCAAGACTAACTTTTAGTAAGAATATGGGGGGGTGGGTAATGTACCTTATAAGTAACCTGTACAGACTTTGTTGAGTTGCTCTAATTTTCAAAAATAAAAATTGCTTTACCTTCTCAGCTAAGATTTAAAGCATGGCTTTGTACCTGCAGTCCAGTATTCCTTCCTTTGTGCAATTTCATATTTGTGTCCTAAGACTACCTCAAAAATTATCATAAATGTGCCACCCAAGAGCAAGATAGAAGAAAGCCTAGTAGTTTAATGCCTTTAATAATAAACATCATGAAATCCTATAATTTTTGTCTTATCATAATCCATAAACTGCCTATACATCTCCTACATAAACAATAGGAAACTTTGATGACACCTGGCTATTTTCTTAAGAGTTACATAATAAAAGCACTGTCTTCATGTATTAAATTTAATGGACCATCCACTCTGTCTGCTAGTCACAGAATACTACCATTCTACTTAAATGCTTGTCTGTAACAATGTATGTACATCGTTCTGAGCAATAGCTATGTAT